TATTCGACGTGTCTTTCACATCAACGTGTCTCTCTCTCTCAAAAATTAATGGATAAAATATCCTCAAGTGAGAATTAACAACAACAACAACAAAGACACTATGTTTATCCTTGAGAAAATAAATGGAGAATCCCTATGCTGTTACTTTTGAAGTGTGGGATACATTTTGGTTGTCTACAGTCTAATAATGAATGCAGATGTTTACAGAAGCATATTGTGTAGAATCGGGTTACCAGGAAGACGTTTTAGGGGTTCCTTAAATGTGTGGGTTTTGTTTCTAAATTATAGATTTGTGTTAATTAAAAAGAAAGCCTGCTGTCGCATTCAGAGATGTCCCCTAAGTACTGGTCTGATGGAGACAGCGGGGTATGACCTTAGTCTGCCCCCTGGATTCACTCCGGTGCGTCCCTGGAAGTAAGGCTCGCTCTGCCGTCGACACAGAGCACGTTTCTTACTGGCTCTTGTTGTACACTGGACGCTCTTGTATTAGTCTTCTACATACTGGCGTCTATCTTGACGAATGCTTCTGTTTTGTCACCGAGCACAGAAAGAAGTTTGGGTTACAAGAGGGGAGGATTGGATTGACATCACCCCTCCCCCCAAGGTGCTCTGTGATGGTTTCTTTTTGTAAACTTCATTAAGGAATAATCAACACGTGTGACTGTGTATATTTAAAGTATACAAAGTGATACTTTGATATACATATGCATTCTGGAATGACTGCCATGATCAAAGTAATTAACATCCATCACCTCACGTAGTTAGCGCCATGTGTGGGGTTTTATTGTTTTATTTGGAGGGTGTGAACTTGTTTTTGTAGTGATTGGTTTTTAGAGAGAGAGAGGGAGAGAAAGAGAGAGGGAAATGTGGATTTGTCATTCTACTATTCATGCATCCGTTGGTTGCTCCTTGTATGTGCCCTGACCGGGGGAGGGGGACCCACAATCTTGGCGTATCAGATGATGCTCCAACCACCTGAACTACCCAGCCAGGGCTGTAAGGGGTTTTTTTTATTATTATTTTGAAAATGCTTAAAATACACTCTCAGTGCCTTTCAAGTATACAGTATTGTATTATTAACTGTAGTCACTATGCTGTATATTACATCCTCAGAACTTATTCATTTTTCTTTTTTAATCCTCACCTGAGGATATTTTTCTATTTGTCTTCAGATAGAGTGGGAGGGAGAGAGAGAGAAAGGGGAAAGAGAGAGTGAAACATCAACATGAGAGGGGCACATCGACTGGTTGCCTCCTGCACGACCCTGACCAGGGCAGGGGATGAACCACAACCAAGTTATGTGCCTTTGGCTGGAATCGAACCCATGACTCATTGGTCCGTGGGCTGACGCTGTACCGCTGAGCCAAACCAGCCAGGGCACAGAACTTACTCTTTTTGTAACTGAAAGTTTACACCCTTTGGTCTCCACCTCCCCATTTATCATTCCTCTAGCCCCTAGCAACCACCATTCTGTTTCTTTTCTACAAAATCATTTTTTGTTGTTGTTTGTTTGAAGATTCCACATATCAGGGGCACCACACAGTATTCGTCTTTATCTGGCTTATTTCACTTAGTAAAATGCCCCCTCCAGCTTCACCTCTGTTGTTGCAAATGGCAGGATTTTCTTCTTTTTGTGGCTGAATAATATTCCATAGTGTAGCAGGGTAACGCTGCGTTTCTTTCTGTGATGGTGTATGAGCGCCTCTGCACAGAGGTGGGGGGGGCTGCATCGGGTGGTAGTTCAGCAGGAGCTCTGGCAGACACTGGGGGAGGGCAGAGCAGTTGGGGAGCGAAGGTGAAAAGAAGTGGATCGGGCCGGGGGGAGGCCTGGGACCGCTCCCTGGAAGCCCCTCGCCCTCTCTGGCAGAGCCTGGCAGTGTCTGGCTCCCTCCCACACCTTGAGGACCGGATCCTCGGATAGCAGCTGGCTGGGGACGCATGCTCCTCAGAAGCAGGGACGAGTGGACTTTCCCCCCGAGGCTTTGTAAGCGGTGGGTGTGGCAGGAAGGAGCCACCGCAGAAGAACAGCACAGATGGCCCGTGGTGACCGCAGCGTCTAGCCTGCTTGGGAGTTACCTGGATACGTGACGGTAGAACGTCCTACACAGAACTGGGCACTGAAGGCTGCCGTGATGCAGGTGGGAGCTGTCAGGAGTAGATATCTGGATTATAGCTATTGAAAGAAAGTATCCTAAGATTTAGAGAAGAACCCAAGACAGTCGAATACTATACGGTCTCCACTGATGGCTTTGGATCAGGGAGGTGCTGGTACTAGAGAGTGAAAACAAGGAACAGAGAAATGAGATGCTGATGTGAATGTTGTGTGAATGTGTGTTCACACACCTTCAGCCTTGCTCTTACTGATCGGGTTTGTGACTAATTACTGTGCACTTGGACTCACAGAGTTAACGCTGTACCTGAAAATTGTTTGCTGAATGAATAAAAATAAATTACCATTATATACTATTTAAGTAAATATAACATTTTGCTTGATTAAGAAGTTCCATTGATTTTTTTTTTTTTTTAAGATACACAAAATATGGTAGACTAGATGTTTGGACCAGAATAGGTAGCAATTGCTTCTTCCTTTTTTCTCATCCAATGGCGGTGGTTTTGGCTGTGGCCACTGTAACAGGTGCTAAGTCTGCTAAATAGTATGACTGATAAACCAAAACACAAAAACAAACACCAGCAAACAGATCTAATATTACGACGCATCACCACCCCGGAGTAATGTACTAAATCATGCCCATGGACAGTCAAGGGGGAAAGAGGGGAAGACAGATTTCAAATAATCGATTGAAAACATAAGTAAAAGTTAGCAGCTCTCCCTTCTGTCTTGCTGTGATCATTCTGAAAACAGATTAGATCGACTCAGGCCGATACGCTTTGAATGCAGCATTGATGAACTGCCCAAGGGTATCGCTGGCATTTTCGATTTACTAGCCCAGTAAGGAGAGCGCTTGTACCTCACTGCCCGCCTGCCTCACCCATGACTGTGCCTGTGCGTGGGGCGCCCACACCATTGCATGCTGGGTTAAAAGGTTCCTTCTCTGGGGTTCCTCTGAATTCCTGCATCACATGGATCGGAGACCCAGCCTGTGACCAGCTTGAACTGCGTTATTTGGTTTGCTGCCGTATTGTAACAAGAGAGCAACTACCTAGAGATGCTTTGTGCCCTCACTCCTCCCACTTTCTCCGAGGGGGATGTACAGGCCTTTTGGAGGTGCAGCAGCAACATCCCTCTGTGTCTTCAAACAAACAGCCACCCCGCTGCCGCTGATCAGCATTCCCGGGATGGCGGTGATTGAAATTTAGCACTTAGAGCAACTTAATTGGCACACGGATCTGTTAAGCATATGCCCTAACCATAGGCATGCCATCTGATGTGCCCACAGGGTGCCCAGTGCTTCACACATGCTCTCATTTTGCTAAAGAAGCAAGTTTCGAGCAGATCCTTGAAGGCAGCCTGTGCGGTGGGTTAGGAGAGGGGTGGTCTTGGAACACAGGTCCTCGGGGCTTCTGCATCCCCTTGAACTCGGGGCAAACCTAAGGAGTTCCAGTTTGCTTGCTGAGGAGGAAGTCTTCAGAGTCTGGTGTTTGCATTCAGTAAGTCAGGCCCGGTGCTCGCAGAGTGCCACTTGGAAGGATTCGACTCTCCTTGGCAACTCGCTGCTGGAAAATCAAGGTTAGGATGTTCCGTGCTCACGGTGGCTAGAACGGATCCCTTGGCCTTCAGACAAAATCCTGGAAATCGATGTCAACATTTTTCTTCTGAGTTGGAAACGGCAGTTCTGGGCCAGGTGTTCTAGGCTGTGTTTTTCAGGAGAGGAATCTGAACGTCAACAGCAAATGGAGCCTCCCCCGTAGGCTCTTTTCATTATGTAAGAAGAACAAGGGGCGAGGACATTGGGGCTTAGAAACACACTGCTCTGTTCAGTCCTCCCAAGTGCCCTGGTGCTTCCTGTCCTTCGTGTCACCATGTGGACCCTGGTCACTGCTGCGGGTGCCAAAGCCGGCCGCCTCTGAGGCGGGGCATGAGCTTCAGTGGGGCTGAGCAGAGGTATACCAGCTCTCTGTCAACTTAGTGTTATTTGATGAGTGCGTCCTGTCCTAACGACCCTGGATCCCAGGCCTCGTCTGTGTTTGTATTTCACTCTGGCATTAGGCAAAATCCCAGGATCCTAATAAATGCTGACGTGTTTGTTGAATTCTGAAAGAATAAATGGAATCGCCTGGGTTCCTCTGAGTGAGCATTAGGTTAGAACCACCGGAAGCTCGGCTGTGTTCATGAAGCTTACATTTCAGCGCCCCATATCATACCCGTCCCTTTCCAGGACCTGCTCCTCTTATGGAGGGCTCCCCAAATTCCATAAGCCTCAGGACCCCATAAAACATAGAGCTGAGCCTGTTAAAATGTTGTTGCTTAGCCCTTGTGGCTTCTTCCATCCAATGTCTTTTCCCCAAATCGGGAGATCAGAAGCCGAGAGAGCCCAGCCTGTAGGAGAAAGGGAAGGAGCGGATCTCTGAGAACCCCGCTAAATCAGGGCGGCTTGCCATTCTTACCTGATTTAACCCTCACAGCAACGCTCTCTGGGAGGCAGCATGCTGAGGTTCCCAGGAGCTAAGTAACCTGACAGGTATGGTACAGCTTCTAGGGCTGGGGATGCTACCTCCCTGACCGTGCCCTCTCCAACCGTCTGCCCAGTGGCTCCTGACAGCTTTGCAAGTCCTCCCTGAAAGTGTTAAGCCCACGGGGTAAGAAATGCCAGGAAGGCCAGGTAACTGGAGTGAGAGGGAGAAGCTGGGAAGGGACCAGTCTTGAGCCGTCCAGTGGAGGGCCTGGCAAACCCTTCCGGTCAGTGTAAGTGAATGGGTAACAATTCATTCAATTATGTTAAGCACCCACTAAAGGAAAGCTAAGCCCTCCCTCGGGCCATTTCACTTCTATGAGATTGTAATTATTGGAGACTAACCCTGATGTCTTCTTTTGCCTTCAGGTGATTCTCATTTTGACCAAGCTCTACGACTATAACCTGGGGAGCATCACCGAGAGCTCGCTGTGGAGGTGAGTAGGTGAACTGGGCTAATGGTTACTGTGTTGCGTAAACATGCCCACGACGGCCGTCCCACACCACTTTATTCCAGGCGAGGTTTCTGGTCATTCGTCCCTTCTTCCCTCTGCTCTGTTCCCTGTGGCCATGGCTGGGTTCATCTGCCGGCAGGCCAGATCCTTACTTCTTTACAGACTCTTTCTTTTGATCACGATCAGATCTTTTTGCTAAACTATTCTTTGGTTGTCGTTACGTGTTTGGTATCAGTTCTCATTGATGTGTGAGCTTACTGGAGCAGAAGCAGAAGAACGGGGTGTCTTGGCAGAGGGTGTCAACAGAACTTCGAGGTCTGCAGAACCCAGGCATGCTCCCACACCACACACACACACACACACACACACACACACACACACACCCGCTTACCTTCTGTGACCCTGCAGCTCCTTATCAGCACACAGGTGTGCACATACTTCTGTGCACAACTTCATTGCTGGGATCCACACTACACTGCCTCACACATATAGGGTGTGCAATGCTTTTCAAATAAATGATACAAATCCTCCAAGAACTGACTATCGCTTTGGATACCAGCACAAAAGAAATTCCTTAGAAATCCACAGAGCTATTGTCTCCATTCCATCTTTTTTTTTTTTTTTTGGAGATTAGAAATTTGTTGTTTCTGTTTGTAAAAATCTGCTTTATTTACCTCACTCCCACACAAGACTTCTCCACCAGCCTGTGTCATGTGCCCACACCTGGACCTATCTCTGAAGCCCAGGAGAGCACTGCCTCTGATTGGTCAGGCCTGGGTCACATGATAATCTCTGGGCGAGGATGGAGACTGCCCGGGAGGTAAGATGCAGTGGTCACTGGCTCAGTGTCAAGTCCAGAGTCTGTTCTTGCTGCTGGAGGGGTAAGCCCCTAGGGGCGACTCAAACCCTGGGCCAAGATGGTTCTTGGCTTCATGCAGGAAAGAACTGAAGATTCGAGCCAGGTGAGAGGTTAAAACAGAAGCAAGTGTACTGAGCAGAGAGGAGAAGCCGGAGAAGCCACTCCACAGACAGAGTGGCCACTCTGCTCACAGGAGAAGGAAGAGAGACCCTACCCATCTCCAGAGGGTGAGCTCGTATCTGTTTGCAGTTTCTGGAAAATGACTGGTGTGAGGAATCGAGAGTGGGAGAAAACGCTGGGATTGGCTTTACTTGTACCAAGTATATTTTATGGCCTGTTTCCCACTGGGTCTGGGTAAGCTATGAGTTGTGGGTGAGGTGCTATTGCTCGAACTTTGCAGGGAGTTTCTTTGCTCCGGAGGCTCCTCGCAGTCGGCCTCATCTCCGGTCAGCTGAGGTCCTGCCCGGGAACACGGGGCAGGCCCCTGGCTTAACTCTGACTTCCGTTAATTTATATAGTCTCATGCCCCTCTCCCATATTATTCTGATTCATCGGTTCCCTTATCATAACAATGGCTAACTGTGCTGAGTGTCACTTCGGATCATACACACACACACACACACATGCACGCGCGCACACACACATGCACACACGCACATGCATGCACAGGCGCACGCACACAGGCATGCACAGGCACACTCACACATACGTGCACCGACTAAGTGGGAGTGGTTATAGCTAATTCCAGAAAAGGGGGACGTGGTCTTGGAGCAGATAAAAACTAGTGGGTGTCCTCTGCTTAAGCTCAGTGGGCATTCTCTCAGCTGTCAGTTCATGTGACGGGGAGACTGGCTACCTGTTCTCTGTCTCAGTGCAAGGGTCTGGGGGAAAGACTCCAGTCACCCCATGTGTGTCCTGTTCCCCCTGATAAGTCCACAGCGACTGGGAAGGGAAGGTTGATTTACAGAGCAGCCTTTAACTTCAGGGCCTGCACCTGCTGGGGGTGCAGTTGTCATACAAGAGGAGGATCATGGACTGGGGAGACACCCCAAAGGAATCTCCCATACGCTGCAAGGGGATCATTCATTACATTTTATTTTTACTTGACATCTGTTTTCCATGAGATGTGACAGCATATACAGGCAGCTCCAAATCGAATGTTCTGTGCTTCGGGAAAACTCTGGTAGACCACGGCAAAGGCCGGATTCTGCTCTTCAATGTCAGGCATTTAGGTTACTGAGCTCCTCCTCCAACTAGGAGGTCAGTTATGCAGAGTTTATATCACAAGGACATTTTGTCACTGAATTAAAGTGTGGGGAGTTTGGTAGAGCCTCAAAACATAGGGACTGATACCTGCTGTATTGTTTAAATCCAGTCCCTGTTTATCGGAATCTCAGAGATTCTGAGTGAGCTCCCGCGTCGCTGATAGATTTCTCTAATGAATTTACATAGATGCAAGTAAAGATTTCTCGAATGTATTTACATATGCGAAAGTAAAGATTTCTCGAATGCATTTACATATATGAAAGTAAAGATTTCTCGAATGCATTTACATATATGAAAGTACAAGCCAGCCTTTATTCTGCAGTGCACCTGTCACATACAGTGTAGTCGGCGTGTTAGGGAATGGAAAGACATGCAATTCTGTCTCAGCGGGACAGTCTTTCAGCAGCTGTAAGTCTCCACCTGAGCAGTGGGAAGGCTGTGCTGGAGGGACGTGAGGGGCAGCTCGTCCGAGACCCGTGACGCTCATGTTCACCGTGCGCCTTCCTCTCGGGCGGGGACTGCTACCCATGCCGCCGCCCAGGAAGAATGCACTTTTCTGACCTTAAGGAGGAGTTTACTGATATAGAAATGACACCATATTTCGGTAATATCGGGCCTCCCTTCTGAGGGAACAACCCTCAGAGGCTTAAGCTTGAGAGAGTGGCAAAAATGATCTGCTGATGTTTCTTTTTTTTTAATCATTAAAAATTTTCTTTTCATTATTGATGTCTAGAGAAGAAGGGAGAGGGAGAGAGAGAGAGAAACATCAATGAGAGCAAACATTGACTGGCCACTTCCTGCACGCCCCCTACTGGGGATCAGGCCCACAACCTGGGCTTGTGCCCTGACCAGGAATCGAACCAGCGACCTCTTGGTGCATAGGTCAACGCTCAACCACTGAGCCACACCAGCCAGGCAACTTTTCAATCTTAAAATCAATTTCACACACACACACTGGAGGAAATTGTGTATATATAATGTATATAAATATATCATGGTGTATATATACATATACATATATATAGTCATATATACCATGATATATATCAATCATATATGTATGCATATATACATGATATACATATATCTATATATACTTAAAATACATAATTATATATACATACACACACACATCTACACACATAGTATACCCACTTATATTTCTAACAGACCCACAATAGTCATATATGTCACACGTTATATGTGGCAAATGATCACTGTGGATATTTTATACTATTAGAACCACTTATGTTAATACTTTGATAGATGAGCACAAGCCTCAGCGAAAATATAATTTAGAAAAGAAAAATGGAAGAAGGAACAATATTTAGCACACTTCACAAGTGCTTTGGCAGAACTTGCATTTTTGGTCAGCTCACGAGCCCCTCTTTGGTCTTTCGGCACCTCCGTGGGCGCGTTACTGTAGAGGTGATGGGGGCCCGGCCGGAGCAGTCAAGGTTGGGGATCCAGGAGAGCCTGCCTCGTGGTTCTGGTCATCCAGTTCAGCCTCCCCGGAAGGACAGCAGACTGCTGAAGCGTCGACTCATTGTCTCCTGCGCCAGCTTGGACTGTCTTCTCCCTACCCCCCAGCTGGGGGCTTGGTAGGGGTGCAGGCCAATTGTTAGAGCTTCTCATGGCGCCCGCAGCACTGAGCACTGGACTTAGCCCAGAGATGCTCTGTAAGTACCTGGCTTTGAACGGACCAGTCGGTACTACACTTTTACCTCTAGTGCATGGTCCTCAACATATAATTTTATTTCTCATTCATTTATTCAAGTAGATGAATTGATGAACTCCTTTAGTCTTTCTTGTTCCAGGGGAAGGAAGGTGGGTGAGCACATGGATCAACAGCATAAGGGCTTTGTCTTCCTGGTTCACTGTTTAGGGGGCAGAGGTCTGTGGACGGTGAAAGGGAGGAGGCCTGTGTACTTGTGGGTAATCTGCCTGCCATGTGTCATTGTATCGGAAAGGTGCTGAAGCAGCCAGAACTGCTGGGTCCCAGACGAAGATAAATCTAATGTAAATAGACAAACTGTCATACAACCATAAGTGTCGTAATAAAAATACAAGGGTTGCTTCTTTACTTTGCTCATGTGTATATTTTCTCTTCTCAACTAGACTTGAAGTCCTTAGACCTAGCACCTTGCTGGTTTAATGATGATGGCAATGAAGCTGGTGATCATGGTGATAATGACGACAATAAAAAACCAGCTTTTATTAAATAGCCGCTACGTATCGGGTGCGGCGCTGTGAGCTGGGCGTGCACTACTGCAGCCTCTCGAATTGTGTGCGCAGCGTGCTCAGTGTCACTCAGGAAACAATCGCCCGCACACTTACAGGGGTGCCAGCGTATACCCCTCGCCCGTCACTGCCTCTGTCTTCCAGAGTCCCGTCTGCCTGAGGGCTGATCTTTCTATACCTGAGCAAATAAGCAAATACCATTTTAGCACTTTTCTTTTATTGATTTTAGAAAGAGGGGGAGAGAGAGAGACAGACGGACAGACAGACATTAGTTTGTTGTTCCACTTACTCATGCATTCAATGGTTGATTCTTGTACCTGCCCTGGCTAGGGATTGAACCAGAAACCTCGGTGTACCAGCGCAATGGGTGCTCTAACCAACATGCCCAGCCAGGGCGCAAATAAAACGTTAATCTTCTAGGTCTCTGTTTCCAAACTCTGACATCCTGAGCAGCATTTGCCCTTCTCCTGAAAAACACTCGACAACCCGGAATGGCTTCTTGTTCAACAAATAGACACGTGCACTTTTCAGTTGAGCCCTATTCTTTGCGCCCTTGACCAGCTGACCCTTTGACAGGTTACAGCTGTCAAATGCCGTTGAGGTGCTGGAATAGAAG